TCTGGTAAAACTTGTACACGGGCTGATATTTTATCATATCCCTACATATATAGAAGTAAATATATTAATCGTTTTTTTTTCAGAAATACCTGATTTTACAAGCAAATTCCCTTGTTATAAGAGTCATGAATGTATAGAAGAACAAAGGAAATTTACATATATAATAAATAATTCATTAACATATATTATTACTTTGACAATTACTATATTACATATATGATGATTTATTTTAAAACTTACCTGAATTATAACTCTGAGAATCTTAAATCTTTGCCTGCCTTTAGCTTTCAAACGAAAACCTTGATCAGGATCATACATACATTCATAAATTTCAGCAGTTGTGCCTATTGGTACCATTTTATCATATCCCAAACATACAACACCTAATGTCCTGTCATTTTCAATGCAAGTTCTTATCATATCAATGGTTTGTGCATCAAATACTGTCATTGGTAATGTTTGTCCAGGAAATAACATGACAGACTGTTTCACTAATAATGGCAAGTTAACGTAAAGTCCATCATCTAATATTGTCCTCCCTCTAAGTTCTTCTAAATTATGCCCTAAATACTAATTAAATACATTTATATTATAACATTCCAAACACAACTCAAATAATATCTTTCTGTCTAAATTACATAAAAAATTAAAAACAAATATTTAATATAAATTTGGAAACATATATTGAAAATTTACAGAATGTGTTGCTGGTAATGTCAAGTCAAAAGTACTTTCAGTAGATATAGATGTTTCATCTGTATTTTCTTCTGAATAATCCTCTTCGACATTATTTTGTCTATTTTCTGGATATTCTGTAATACAAATATTTTATTCTTTTCTTGTGTTTCTTTATGTATGAAGGCATATATGTATGCATACAAAAAACTTGGTAATTTATAAGGATAATACGAGAGTATAATGATATGAAAGTATCAGAAGTAGAAAAATAACGTGTATGTAAAATTGTAAAAATTTAAGACGTATAATTTTATAAGTAATTGATAAGAAAGAATCTCTGCATTTTGGAACAATATGTGGAAATCTCACTACATAACCTGTAATTGTTTAAAGGATAATTTAATATATTTAAATGTGCGCCATGTAAAAAGATATACCTAATTCGCTGTGTGTTCCGTCATCATCTGCATTGGCATCCATGTCATCTACGTATTCCTCTGAACTTTTGAGATCTTGTAAAATTGTAAACAATCAGTACTTTTCCTCTCACAAACGTCAAACACGATAAGCCCTCTATCATCAATTTATGTATTTACATAAAATGCACTTTACAGTTTTCATGAATCAAGCTTCATTTAGAATGTAAATCTATACGTTGTTTTCTTATCACTTAAGTCATATTAAATACATTTCGATTTTTAATTACCTTATCGGCAAAATAATTATGTTTTCAAAATACAAAATTGCTTTATTTATAAAACGTGCATTAAGTTTATCTTACATGTAAAATTTAAAGTGTTAAATATGTACTTCATCAATTATTTCAGGGAAAATATACGATAATATTGCATATAATATTTTCTGCGCAGTAATATATTTAGTAATTCATATACAAATATATTTAAATGAATAAATTTATGCAACTACATTATGAAGCATTATTAGAAAAAACAAAAATTTGTAAAAGTTATACAAATATCATAGAAAAATATGAGAATACAATTGTAATATAAATAATTTACAAAAAAACATATTTTACAAAAAACGGTTGTCAATTTGTAAGACATTTATTATATTTTGTATAATCATTTGCTCTGAGTTATTTGTTGTGTAATCCATGGAATATAATTATACACATTGACATATACACCAGGAATATTACTAGTTGCACAACCAATACCCCATGCAACTATTCCAACAACTTGCCATTGGTTGTTACCAAATTGACATACTAATGGTGAACCACCATCGCCCTAGAAGAATTTTAATCAAAATAAGTACTTCCAAGGGAATTAACAAATTAAATACTTGTTAAAAACATGAGCTAAATGATATCAATAATATTATTTAATATTTGTTACTAAAATCTGATCTTAACACGTTAATAACTTACTGTGCATGCATCTTTTCCTTGTTCCCCCCCTGCACATATGAAACTATTTTTATTCAACATAAAGGAACGTCCAAGCCTAGTTTGCCTTAAAGCATTTTCACAGATTGATTGATCAACAATTGGTACATCTACTTCTTTTGTTATACTTTGATATTTGCCATTTGTACCAAATGCATCCTTCCCCCAGCCTGACACCCAACATCTTAAAGAAAAATATGGAGCATATAAAGTTATTATGATTAAATAAAACTCAATATTAAATATAGATTTTCTGCATACCTTGTAGAAGCTGCAGGTATTCCTGTAGGAAGACATGCAGTGTTTATATTAGGACTGCTTGAAATTGGAACAGTACTATTTAAAGTTATTACTGCTACATCATTTTGAAGATTAGCAGAATTGAATTGAGAGTGTATAGATATTTGTTTAATTGAATATTCTTGATATGGATAAGTCTCACTGGTGGACTGTTCATCCCATTCTCCTAGTCTCACTTTAAGTCCACCATTTCTATAGAAAAGTATATTTATTTTTATTTGAAATATTAAATTTCTTTTATTGAAAAATAATATATAAAAGACACAAAAGGGAATAAAAATACCAATATTTTTTGGAATTAAAATAAAGTATAAATTACGTGTAAGATGCTACTTTGTGGGCGACAGTTAACACATGGTTTGGAGTAATAAGTACACCCGAACCAACATAAGCGTTGTTAGTCATTAAAAGTGCAGCTTGCCAGGGATATGCTCCGTAACTGGCTTGACCTTGAGGATGTGCAGACACTGGAATTTTTCTGACACCGCAACTAGAGTCGACCAAGTTTCCCGAAGAAGGCGAGCAACAACACACTTGGCCAGCGGGACAATTCGAATTCTAAAAATTAAAATTAAGACGATGTATTTTTTGAGAAAATGACATCTCTAATCATTAAACTATTAAATACATTACTCATACATACTCCATTAACAATTCGAATATCGATTCCCGTATTGGAATATGGGCAGTTGTCCTTTGGAACACAGCACGAATAACCTGTGTCACTGTAAGCTTAAATATAAAATTTAATAACTTATAACCGAATATTTAACTTAAATACATTTTTTCTACAGTAAAATATAATTTCTCAAGAAATTTTAAAATTCACATTCAAAAATAAATTCAAAAGCGACCAAAATCATGTTTCGGTAATATTTTATCGATAGAAATAGAATACATCTTATTTTTAGCAAATATTTTATGTTTGAAAATATAGTTAATACATCATCCTTTATTTAGAAAAGTTTTACGGAATAATAATGCAATCGGAATTAGATTTCAAAGAAATTTCCAGTCTTCAAAAACTGAAGTATTTTTCTGAAAGCGAGAAGGGCTAAAAAAGATTTAAATTCCTCAAGTTTGTTTAAAATTCTTCTTATACTCATACTTGATGACACAACTGCATTACTGCCAAAAGTAATCGTATCCTGTGCCAGAGCACAGTCCCTTAGAATGCCCGTAACGAAGAAAACTGCAAATAGTATATAAGACATAATTGAATGTTGCAAAATAATTTCCTGTACTTTACAAGAGCGCGCAGAGTTGAAGAAGAACAAGATTTCAAACTGGCGAGCCTCCGTTGATTTATATACAACCAGGATACCTTGCAACGCATTTTGCAGAAGCATATTAACTCGTACATTCTTTCGGAACGAAAATAATGTGCGACCTTTCACAGATAGTGGAGTCCTTTGCGCGTAAATTGCTAAATAATTTGGCGTAAATTACTTCCGATCATGATTATGTCTTCATTTATGTATGACACAGATGTTGTAATGTTATTCAATTTTTATACGTAATAAAATGTTCGAAGTGGAACGAAAAGCAAGGTTAGACATGCTCTGAAATAAAGAAGGTCAATAATTACGGGTTCCCGGTGCCCGGTAGTAATGTCATGAGTCACATCATAATTATACTGTTTTTTTGCCTCAGTTTCCTTCTTTTTATATTTTGACGTCAACAATATTTTAAATGTGCTACAAATTGCCATAAGGAATTGTCAACTATGAATCACATATGACTAACAAGCATATTTCCCTTTTTATAACGTTAAATCGTGATAATTACAGTTATTTTAATAGCGACACCCTTTTTGAAGGATAGAATATTTCAATAAGTTAAATATGTCCTTGCAGTTAACTCGTAGTTAATCAGATCAGAAACGATAAGATACTTGAATTATTTTAAAAATGAAATGTTCCAATGACTCAATAAACTATTTTCATAATACGAGAGTAATTTTAGGATGGGACATATCTAAATGAGGAATATTAATTGTAATAATGAGAGAAAGAAACATCTTTATGAATGATAGTAATACAAATGATAAATCTTGCATCGGTCGCTTTATTTATACATCAAGTTGCTACATTTCGAAAGTAGTATTCTCACAATTTGTTATCGGTTCTCTCTCTCTCTCTCTCTCTCTATCTTTCGCTCTCTCGCTCTCTCACTCTCTTGTTTATTTCTTTCTCAAAGCGTAGAACACTTAAAATGTTATTGCTCGCCTAGTTGTCAATTCAGCGAGATACTAAACACGTCTGAACTAACACGAGGACGTAAATATACGAAGATTGTTTGACATTGCGTAAACTAAAAACAAAAATTTCGAAAAATTCACAGTGAAAATCGCCTCTGGTGTTTCAGTCAATGAATCGTATTACGTATTACCAGAGGAAAAGGTTACTTTTCAATGTAAATTCGTAGAAACTATCTAATATGGTCGTGGTATAGAATGGTGCAAAAAGTATTAAGAAATATTTGCAATACTTTTATGCGAAAAATCTTCTCGTAAAACGAAATTTGTTCGAGGCCCACTTTTTGCACCGTCTGATCCTCCCATTATGTCTATAAAATGCAGTAAAAAAAGCTGCTTTTTTTTGCTTCACAGACAGAACTTTAAGTTTCCTGGGACAAGATCAAGACCAGATAAGATCAAGACTTAAACTTTAAACATATTTAAAAATTGATATAAAATCAGAATTAATAGCTTCCTAACTAAGTTGGTACTTGACGGACAATGCCTAAGAGGTAGTATCAATTTTTTCTCATTATATTTGCACTGGTTATAGTACGATCAGTTTTTCCGACCTCCACGTCTCTTCATAGAAGATGTACATTGAGGACAGTACCATTTTCCTTTTGGAGGCGCAGTGATACCCACACATGGATAGTGAAACCATTCAAAAGGACACTATAAAAAGATAATGAGAAAAAATAAATGTTTAATAAATATAAATATTCTTACTTGACTCATACGGAAATATATATAAGGAAAAAAGGTTAGCTTACATCTGAATTGTCACAGGCAACCATATCCCCATAAGATACTTGATTACATATACAATATCTTGGTTCATTTGGATCATAAGTCCAATCTGGATTATCTGAATCTACAACTTGTGTATTTGTAGTTATAACTGGAGGTGATACAGGTTGCTGAACAGAGGCAGCAACTACACTCGAACTTGGGACAGCAGTTACTTTTCTAAAATGAGTAATAATATTCATTCAAAGCAAACACGCGAAAATTTTCACAAAGGGTACAGAGGTCTTCTAGCAGATGCATACTTTTTATGCTTTTTAGTTGTTTCTTGCTGTATAGCTGCAATGGCAGTCTGAGCAGCGCCAGCTAATTCTCTACTAAATTCGGCTGCATGTACACCTCCAGTGTTAATGGCTTCATAACTAGCTTTTAAGCTGGCAGTACGTCTGCCATGTTGCATTTGTTGCGTCGCAGCAATTGCTTGTGATGCTGCAGCTGCTATAGCATTTCCACCAGCTCCTATGTGACCGAGATTATAACTCACAGAACCAACAGAATTCGCGATTGCTGTAGGAGTAGATGGCACGCTAGTAGCGGCGATAATTGGTCCTGAATTTGCAGAAGCTGGTCGCGATTCAGGAAGACTTGGAGAAATTTTTTCTATAGCTAAGCGTTTTTCTATTGATGTAGAAGATGCATTTGAATCTCTCCTTTTTTCTGCTCGAGCTATAAAAATTTTTATTAGTCTAAAGTATTTTTCATATTGAATAAAATTTAATTGAAGCAAGGGAATACTTACAATGACTATGATTGTCTCGTGACCTACTGGATGTTGTAAAGCTATATCGATTCTCTTTTTGACTACTATTCGTAGGTGGTTGATCTAGCTCCAATGACCTTTTCTCCAGTATTTCTGTGATACCTTTATTATCTGCTTCCAGCTCCATTTTAAATTTGTGCAATTCCTGGTCTAATCTTCTCAAATATCTATCTACTAAGTCATACATCTGATTAGCTAAATGCACCTTCTCATCTGCATCCTCTAAAGTTTTATAATATTCTCTTCTAATAGCTTCATATTCTGCTTCCTTTTCACTAGGTTTCATCTTTTTTGCATTTGCAAAAAAAATCTTTACTTTTTTTTCTAAACTATCCATTGAATCTGCAATAATTGAACAATTATTAATATGATTCATAAATAATAAATATAGTCCATAATAATATGTACATACTCTGTACACCTAAGTCCATTTCTCTCATTTCTGTGAATCGGTCTCTTAATTCTTGTGGTAGGTGCTCGATCACTGGAACCGCAAAAGAAGAAGGTTAACATAACCAAACAAAACCAACATAAAAAAGATTAATTACTTAAGAATAAATGACATTTATCTAATTAATATAATAATTACAATGTTCGCATTCTATTCACAGGAAATATTACAAGTTACAGTTTAACTCCAAAATATATTAGGTAGAGTAGAGAAACTATACACTATTTAGAAAACATACAACTAACCTTAAACTTACAAAGAATGGTATATCAATAAATTGCTCATATAATGAGGTATTTAACTCGATAATAAAATAAAAGCCAGCATTTAAATGATTACATGTGATAATACAATATCTACTAAAATATTCGCTTTAAGAAACGCTTCTGATGTTTGTGCGAGAGAGTATATTTGGAAAGATTAGTAACTTTCTTCAGAAGCTGGGTAAGCAGAGCATGCCTCGTTTTTACGTACTTTCAACATAATCTTCCAAGTAAAGCATCCTTTTCTGCTGGCGCTTCGTTACCTGGTGCTTAATTTACAATTATTTACAATTTACTAAAGGGGAGTGCTTGCCGCCGTGACAAAATCAACGAAAATTGTAGCACTCGATCAGAAGCGTGTTTACGGCGGCCAAATCCCTTGTTGTACCCACATTTTCACGCTAGTTCTGTAAATGATGCGAATCTATGGACGATTCGTACGAAATATCGTAGAAAAAATGTCATTTTCGCGAATATAAATGGTCCAGTAATTAGTGCATTCTTAAAAGTGTTATTTATTTCGGAATTATTACTGGCCAGTTATCTATTCCTTGTAATCCGCCATCTTAACGTAACTTTCAGGGGTGACTTTACATGGTTCTGTGCCCCGTGCGAAATATTTGACATTCTTATTTTTTAGTCAAATATTTCTATCAATTCAGACATTAATATTTTCATTTATCAAATAAATATTATCATTACATTTATTTCATTTCTTAAATCTTATATCTCTAACTCTTAATAATATATACTTATTAGTTGCATAATGGATATAAATGTATTCTGTATGTATTGCACACATAATATATGATATGTAAAAAGATTTGTTATTTCCTAAATCCATATGATATAAAATTTAATCAATCTTATATCTATAAGATTAAAACCCTAGGCTAGGATTTGTTCTCGAATCTATAAAAATTTGAAGTACTTCTGATAAAAATCAAGGATTTAAAGCAGAATAAGAATATTTAAAAATAAAACATTGTTTTATAAATATGTTGCAGACGATTGTGTAGTATTAAGGATTAAAGAAAGTTAGGATTCTTTCTTTTGGTCTTTATTAACAATATTCCCTGCATATTGATCGACGTATTATAAGATCTTTTTATACTAAAAGAAAGGTGCGTTGAACTTTTCCTTCGTAAAATGATACGGCGCAGTCCGACGAGAATCGACTTACGACTAGACGATCTGCAAGAATATGAGGCGATGAGGAAAGCTCTCGAAGCTAAGAAAGAATCAGAAAGACCACCTACAACATTCAATCCTCCCCCCTGGGGTGGTAAAATCCCGCAAAGTGAAATTCAAGAACGCATCGGTTATATGCCGCAACAAGCTCAAACTACACATTGTCGGCCAAATTTATAGCTTTTTATATAATACTTATGTATTCTGGATTATATTATTTTTTATGTTTGTTCCAATATTACCATGTAATTGACTGTAGTCCATCATGAAATAAAATAAATCCATTGAAATTCAGTTTCCAAAGTGTTTATTGTAATATTACTAAAATATACATGGCAGCGTTTTCTTTTATAACGTATAACAGTTGAAGGAGGTAATAACAATAGAACATCGACAGTTGTTTTAAGATCTATGACACACAGGTTCAACAATACAATGTGTAATATTATGATATCGCCATTTAAGTCATTAACAAATACATATGTTTGTTTACCTAGTTTAATGAAAGCAAGATGATTGAGCGTTTAGTAGAAATAGATTATTGCTGTCTGAAATGTCTCGTGTACAAAAGGTAATTACATGTTAGCGATTCTATTGTTATTCCTATCACAAGAGGATACCGATCAACATACACGATGAATAATAAAATGCACTGATTTAGCATGTATATTATGAAATTTACAAATAAAATGTATTGCTATATAGAACAAGAATTATTCGAAATGCAATATTGTCGTATTTATTGTTCTCCTCGAAACAAGCTCTCTTCACCCTCTGAACCAGCAGAAAACTAAAAATATTCCCGACATTATTCTATGGGAAAATTTCAATTCCATTATTAATTAGCTCGCTTATCCCCTAAGGGTGATAAAAAAGAGCGTCCTCGATGATTTTTTATCACGACTACGTTCTCTATGAATTATAAACCTTTGTTGAAGTATAAGTATTTGGGTATATCTCTGCTTTTACAATTCTTCTTCAAAAGTTCGTAATTTTCAGGCTCCCAGCGTTCCAAATCAGAAGATTTAATTGAGCTATGAAATATATACAAAGTATAAATAAAAATTATGTTTACACAAAATATGTATTGGTTATTATTTATATATGTTAATTTTTGGGTCAATATATAAATATTTAGCGCAAAATGTGGTAAACATTGATTGATTTTCAATGTAAAAGAATTGTATTGTTCGTTTGATAAAATATATATGTATAAAATTTATAAAAGCTCACCAGTTTTGAGGGAATAACGCACATGCCGTAGGAACCATAAACGTCAGACTGAAATATTAATGAATATTTTTGTTTCTATGAACGTCCTACCTTTAAACCACTGTAGTCGACTAATAATGTTACAGTAATCTAAAATTTAAAAAATATATGTTTAAAAAATACTTACAAACAACCGACCAACATAACTTGTATAGGTGCGTGCAAAAATTTGATCTTCTGCATCCAAGCATATTTTTCTAGTCTTTCCATCATGGGTGGTAGAATCACTGAACCATATAAATTTGTGTTTCATTAAGTTAGCACGCGTTTGATCTCGTGCTCTACATTTTATACTTACACATGCCAGGTGCACACATAACAATTCTCGAGATGACTACTTGGCTGATACCTTTAACTGCGGCGAACTGAAATGGATCATGTATTTACTTCTCTTCAGTGGTACACTTTATTCTATAACGAACGTTGAATGCAACCTACTTTTGACTTGGTCAACTTATTGCCATTCTCGTCACTGATGTCGATTCCATTAGTGATTTCGTTCTGCCGCATCAGGGGAATATTCACGCAATTTGCAGCTGCCACGGCAGCGAACGGCACGTAGCGCTAAATAGTTAAACTTCCAAATATTATACTTAATCAAATAATTAAAAGGATAGCTTTGTGACACAGAATCATTTTGAAGTCAATTTGTTACGAAAGTATTAATTTGAGTTTTCAGGAATTAAACATTTTACCGCCATAAGGGTGCTTGCCCGTTTTGCCCAAAAGGACTTGAATCCTATAGCCGTTATCATGGCCGCTGAGGTAGCACTGACGTATGCCAGTCCTAATTGAGACACGGTCGTAGGACTGTTGGCATTTCTGTTCGTATAGTTAACGAACGCGTTGAACGACTGGTTTACCCATTGCCAAAAAACCACAGCTGTGGTTGTTCTGCAACAATTGTTGTGAATGAACAGTCTTTTTCGTATAAAATGCTTATATAAAATAAATTCTACAAAGTCAACAAAATAGTTACATCTTTCAATCGAAAATCAAGGATATTTCTGCTACTTGGAATTAAATCTATTACAAAAAAAGATTAATTAGTATTTTCGTAAAATTAATCTCAAGAGCCATATTAATACAGAATTTGTCTATATTCCATTGCTTCATTTTTAAAAAATTATCTTTGAAAACAAATTGCTATTGAATGAATTTTTAAATTTCTTGCGTTTCGAGAATGTTATCTTGTTTACAGTGGCATAGTTTAAGGTGGACAATATGCAAAGAGACAATTTACTTGTAAAACTGAAGCATAGCACCAGTGATAAGCATTCCGCCTGGCACTTGAAAGGACATTCTACCGAAGACATTCTGCAGGTCACCGGTGTCGGGATGAAAGGCTGACTCGTAAAGCTTCTTAGCATAGATGATTTGCTCCCGGGTTGTACCAGCTGGCTCCTTCCCAAGTCTAAGGGATAAACAGACTATTGATTTTTCGTAGACTCAAAAACAGCGAGTTATAAGGATACGTGAAAATTTATGTTAAAAATTCTGATAATAACTACGTGTATCGAAAAATTTGCAAGAAATACAAATGAAGGAATAGTATCACTCTAAACAATTAGATAGAGCGTGTTTAAGGAACGATTCAGAAAGATGACAGAGAAATTTCTTCAAGTTACAGGAAATATGCGCATTCACATGAAATATTCTTTCTGAAATCTTAATTTAGATTAAAATTATTGAAAATATGTTCCTAACTATGTATTTCCCTCCCTAGTATTTCACTTTTAAAAATGTTCAAATATTATTTTCTTTTTTGGTACAATTATCGATAAATCTTTTGTCTGAAAATCTACAATTTTGTACACAGGCTTGATTTATTGTCTTCTTTTCCCCAGAAAAGATTATTTTACTAGTTTTACAATCGGCTAATACATTACACAATTGACCAACCGACACTATCAATTCATGAAGAAAAGGAATGTAAAGATGCCGCGGAGAATATTTGCAATGCCTGCAGTGACCGATAGATTTTTATTTCCTTTTTTCTTCAATATGATACGTAATAGAATGTAAATCTTTCGATCACCTGCTACGGGATTAAAATAAAAATCTGATTCGATGCAAGATCCTTATGACTTCCGTTTCCCATAAAATCGTTCTTTCATCCGTGCCATGGTTACTTATATTATATAAATTACATGTACGTAATCACCTGCATCGTAATCCTTCATTAGAGAAATCGAGCAAAACATGCAAGGAAAGATGGTCGAATTGCATCTGAAAAACTATTGTTGCGTTTTATTCCTTATATAGCGTATGTTTTAATTTATTTTATACACTAGAAGTACGATTGAGAAAATTCATGCAATTAAACTGAACTATGAAATAAAATACACACTCGTATATGGGGTTGAAAAAGGCTGTTAAAATTCCACGGAGAGAGAAGGGAATGCGGAGGCGTGAAAGGAGTTTCAAGGTCAGCTCTCTATATTTAAAGTTTAAATAGAATGCTATATTTATAGAATGACAATCGCTTTTAATTTTTTCCAATTATTTTCTTGAACAATTAAATTATAGATTAAAATGACTCTATTTGCTTTTTATAAATATACTATGAGAATTTAAAATGGATATATTTTAAACATAAAAGATACTTAGTGAAATATTTTTAATTATAATAACTGTGATTGTTAGTGCGATCTTTATTTATAAGTAACGATTTTGTTAGAACATAATTATATCGTTTTATCCTTGAAATACTTAACATAGTAAACTGTATTTATCGATAACACTCGTTATGCAATAATGTTTCTTCAAGCACGATAAAGACGCCATGAAAAGACGCGATTCTTGTATCACATACTTCAAATCACATTCTGTCAATCGTAAAACAAGATTAATGTCAAGAAAATATTTTTTATAAGAGTTCTTACAAAGTAATATCGAATAATTTAATATCTTCTTGTCCGACTGATAACGAGCAAGTAATACAATATAATATAATATGTAGAAACATATTTCGCTATTATTACAACTCACACACTTTTATTGTTTAATTATTATTACCATAGAAAAATATAAATAACATTGAAATGTCCTTAATTGTCGTACCCTCTTAATCATACATAATATATTAAAATTTCTGATATATAAATTAAAATGTGTATTAATCTACGTAAACGTCTTGCGCTCATACGTAACAAATCATTTGTTTTCTATAAGTTTTACGTTTATGTAATAGTCCAATAGATTGGCTAGTGGTCAAGCAAAACTAAACCGATTGCTCATACTCACTTATAGTCTTTGCATAGTTTCTTTGCTGCTAGCAACTGGGAATCACCAACGGTACAAGTGCGGAAATCAGTTTGCCACAAGAAATGCTTCCATCTGCCTACGAAGGTGCTAAGATCCCATAGAGGTCGGTCGACGTCCAGTCTCTCCTCCCTCATCTTTGAGGGTACTGCGATCTCAATCTTTGTCAATAAACGTGAAATGCAATCTATTAAACTGACATTTAAAGCATATTTTAGCAAACGATATCAAAAAGCAGAAAGGACCGGTTGAAACGATGAAGTTGATGAAGTCCGTTAATATAGTATGTATAGAGACAGGTTTACCAATGACTTATGGTCATTGTGTAATATGTAGAAATATTGTTATTATGTATTTACAAAATATTCACGGTGAACTCTAAAATCGTTGTTTACCGAATGGTGTACTTTCAAGTTAACTGTTTCGTGGGTAGGTTGTGAATTGTTTGTTTTTGAGAATATGTTAAATTTATGAAACATTCGGTCTAGAGATTAGAAGACATTTTATCGTCTTACTCTTTCACTGATAAGAATATACTTTAAATTTCGAATTTGTAATAATTCGTTATGTTGGCAAAAGTAGGTAGAGGAAACTCAAATAAGTTAAAATTATATGTGAAATAATATCGAATATAATATTACGAATATAATAAAAATGAAAGATATAATTCGTACACGGTGCAACCAATGCATTAGTAAGATCACTTTGTCGTTGCTTTGTAAATACAAATTTTATCTATAGTGTTATCTAACGAAATAACAAGGACGCACAAAAACCACTGAATGTTAATATCGTACCGAGATTGTCACATTAAATGTTTTATGCTTTAATGGTATATGGTGCAAAACGTTCGAAAGATCGTTTGCAAATAGAGAAGGCGTACGTATCGATTATTTGACACTGTGACACCGAACATACCATTCAATGTACGAGCGAGACTCTAAAAGGCAAACGCAGACTATATGAATTATAATAGAAAATTAACAGACAATGCCAAATTCGATCCATCAATCGATATATTATTGTTAAGTATGTAAGACACCCGGTTTCAGTCGGTAAAGTTCGATAGCCGAAATTGCATGCGCGTATCCTTATCTTCGCGGGCCCTGCGTCCACGAAAATACGGTATACGGCGTACGGCATAACCTAAGCCACTACGTACAGTGTAACGTGTATTGATCATATGTAGTTTAGTATGTAAGTCTAGGGATGTGTTTGTTTTGTCTCCCATATTCAGGCTATATTTTATCGTCTTTCATTTGTATGACGTCATGGCAAGATACTTGCGTGTTTGCATTTTCGAATGATCTCGAGCAGGGTATCTCGGTTCTGGTCAATTATCGACCATTCTCGACAAGACAGGCTGGCAGTTGAAGAACAACCCACTTTCTGTTTAAATACAGGCACATTTTCATTCAAGAACGACGTAGCAAAATAGCCGAATGTTCGTGTGTATTTTCACCTTCGGCCGCACTATGTCAAACTACACGTGCACGACCGCATATTATGTAACGCATATAAGTGGCAGCCAATTTTTTGTTCGCTTACCCGTGAAAACGTATGTCACTTCCAGAGAGCCTGTTCTGTTCTGCTGTCTACCGTAACACCGCGCACGCCAGCTGATTGGTACCCTACACTAGCGCCAGCTACCTTGCTACGCCCCTGCGCTTGTCCCTTCCCGGACACCGCTGTCTTTATTATTGTTATTATCATCGTACCATTCGCTCCGTTTGAATGATTCTTCCTTTTCTTCCTCATGGGTCGTTGTCTGTCTATCTTTATTGAATATTGAAAGGATCGATAATTTCTAACAATTCTTCTTTTTTAGTTTTTGTTGCTTGCTTCAACATTAGAATCTACTGTTTTAATACAAGTAACAGGCTACCTTATAAGATCAAATTTTTACATAAAATTTGATTAAGCTGATTTTTGGTATAGACTATGTTCAAATTATTTTGACATTTTTGGATATAATGTGTAAATAAAATTCGATTAATGTATATGTTATATATAATATTAATTAATCTGCTTTTCACAAATTATTTAATAATGACACGATAAATAATTTTATATTAATAACAAGAAATAAGATATTACAATTGAATTCGAAGGTGACGTAATCATCTGCCAATTTATTCCAGGCTGCTTGCCGATATGGCAACGACAATAAAATCGAAGCTTACTTTTTTCAGTTATTTTGAATGCAATAACTGTACTTCGCAGAATTTAATTTCCGTTGACACACATACAAAAGAGGAGGAACGCTTTATAAATGTACATTATAAATTATAATACATATATGTATGCCCATACAATCGTTCTTGATGTACATATAATTTAAATATTATTGCATTCTATACTGTGTTTCTTATGTAAAACGGGTATGTTTTCAAAATATTAATTTATATTTAAATAAATTTTGCGAATTTGCACTTGAATTCACGTGCATATTGAAAGTGTAAAAGTTATGTTATAACTGTGATAGAATTGATGTTATAATTTCGGGTAGTATCACTATGTTTCCACATTTATTACGTTAAATAATGATTCGTGAATGTGTATGTTAATTGCAATCGTTTACCTCAATTTAGTCAACTACCTTTAAATGTTATTTGACTAATTACTTTGCATTTAATATAATGTCTCTTAAAAGCTGTTTCATTATTTCGTTAACTATTTTGTTTTTCTAGCTAGGTATATTTTAACAACATGGAAGTTTCAAGATTAATATAAGCTCATAAATGCCAAAATGAAAGAACATGCAGATCCATATCTTTTGTGGGTAGCGTGTTTCTTGTAGACGTAATTAAATTTTGGAATCTACCAGATGTGAAAGAGGTTTCTAGAACACATTGCTCGAAATAGTGTCATCTGCACGACGCTAGCTACGAATATTCAATTAACACATATACACAACTACAATGGCATATAAAAGTCCATCCGAAATATCAAAGCCGTTCAAGAGGCGTTATTTGAAGCAACAACTTCCTGCATCGGTTCTACTATCTTTCCCTTGGTATCTCTGTACGGAGACAATGATCGTTGTTCTCGCAAGAACTTATCAGGGTGTAACGCTTCCTAATTCCATATCAGTTTAAAGAACGCCCTAAACGTTCAATATGGAACGCGCAATATTCTGAGTTGCGCAATAATATTGACAGTGGTAGGAACTAATATCGAAGACGTATACGTAGGTCCGCTCAAATGGACTTGGTCTACGTATTACGCCGCGATTCGAACTGTTTACTACATATATTCGATAAAGAATTGCTCGATGTAGATAAAACTTATTAAATTACATTGCTGAGCTTTCGACCTTGTCCTCGTCAATTGCTATTCGTTTTGTTCTTGTTGTGTCGGATTGCAAGATTCTTTTGTTAAAGTTACGAGATGGACAGACCAGAGAAAGTTTAAACAACGCTCAGTACGGAGGTTAGCGAACAAAATCAAGTTCACGGCCGCTCCTGTCGAATTCCTGAAATGTTCTTGACGTGATTTTCTTTACCGACGAGCGGAAGCGAGTGTTAGCTTGTCGTTTCTCTTTCTATCTTTTTCTTTTTTCCTTTGCCTTTCTCGTTTTGCCTCCCTTTGTTATGTACGTGCCAGCCCGTTTTTGTCGTTTTTTGCTGTTTTGGCCACGTCGTAGTGGCCAATGCACGAAAACTTAGAGCACTAGGCCGACTAAGCTGTACACTTCCGTACTCGTGAAAAGTAGAGCTCGACCTCGTTTGTTACGCGTCACCATATTGTAGCTAAAACTGTCACGAATTATTGTTTCGTAATATTCGCGATATAATTTTGGCTTCTAGTTGTTTCTTTGTTTAAATTTTTGCTTGCCTTTCTCTGCTCTCTCCTCCTTGCCCTAGCTACTTCCGATATGAGCTCTGTGATTAATAGAATTAAGAAACGTAGTTAGCGAAAATGAATTCGAAAGTGAATTAAAGTTGTTTGCCGCATTTGTATCATTTACTTTATCTTCATCAATAAAATTATGACGAGAGAGTTCACAGATTAATGTCCCAGTTGATTTAAAGTCAACTTATTCATAGTACTTCTACAATTTTTTACTATTAAGCCACTATCACATATAAAATAAAAACTGTACTTTAATCTCAGTTTACTATCTTTTATAAAATATTTATAAAAGTCTCTTGATATATTTTTCACTAAAATTATGATCTAACTATGACTCAATTTCCTGTTTCATCAAGAGTTTATCTTCTTTTATCAAAACCGGGTGGAAGAAAATAAATGTTGTATCAAAAAAGTAACTAGAATCACTTCAGGGAGGTACTTTTTTGCTATCATCATTATCTTTTTTTGTGCCAATTTACTATTTACTAGTAAACTTTAATTTTTCTCTTAACTTTACCATGATATGTATATGGTAAATGTATGTATATATAATTTATTAAATATTAAGAAGGATTATGTGTCATAGCTTAAACTTAGCAACTTAACAACTTATAAGAACAAGATAAATGTTAGTTTAGAAGCGTAACGATTAAACTGGAATATAGCCATAAATTCTCATTGAAATATTTAAGAAATATATTCCTCAACTATCATTTCACTCATACGCTAGAATAATCACATTTATAAAATTTATTCCTATCAGTATGTATAATTAGCCCTCAAACATGGAATATGTTTCTATAGGGAGTAATGGTTCATTCTTTCAAGTTGTTCCCACCATGATATGCAGAAAGAATGCTTACGAAAAGTATGTGTGTATAGTGGTGTATCTATATCGGGCATACAATGTATAAAAGAAAATTCCATTCAGAACCAACTGGCTAAAATTTTGCTAGCTGGACAAGATAAATTACAAGAGGAAACGTATGTTCCATTAATAAATAAGAGATAAAGCTTCAAGAAAAGAGATTTTGGATCTTAAAACACACTATCCTCTGTATGGGGTTTGTTCATCACAGGAGAAGGGAACCGTGGATGCTTTTTACTGTCCTGAAGCAAAATAGTACAGGACCGTATGAAGATATATTAGCTACATCCTCGTTTCCCAAATTGATTTCCAACATTTTTAAAAACTATGTTACAATTACTATAAAAATATGGTCTCAGTTTTCATTTTTCAACAATTCATTTCAATCTTTTTTAAAAGATTACAAAATTGGAGAAAATTGAAAATTTTATTATAATTTTACATATTTCTATATTGATTATATTACAATGTTAATAAATTAGCAAATTTTCCAATACTTCGCCATCTTTATTTTTTATTCTTATTCAAATAAAAAGTAACAACATATATATGTATATATATCACATGGATTAACAGATTAATAAATATTTATCCAAGCATAATGGTATCGATATACTCCACTAAATTACTAAGAATAATCATTAATATCTTGGAATATTCAATAAAAAAATAAGTTTAAGGAATATTTCTAATTTGATGAAGAGTCGAGGGTTCATAGCATGACGTTACGATGTTGCGCCGGCTTGGTGGGGGTAGCGAGCGGCGCATGCGCAATGGGGAACGGGTGCCCAGCTGTGCACAAACGTGAAATGCGGCGCGGCTGGCGGTGGTGGCTGCTAGGAAAGCAAGCGAGCGAACAAGCGAGCAAGCGAGCAAGCAAGCAGGCCGAGACTGCCCTCCTGTCTCCCCCACCCCAAGCATGCCTCGCAGAGCCCATGGCCTCCGTATACACGGAGGAGAGTGAGGCAGCCCCAGCCGCTCCTCACGTCATCCGCTGAGAGAGAGACGACGGGTCTCGACACGGCGAGGAGCAATAATTCTAACGAGCCAAGATGGCGGCGGACACGGTGGCCCTGTCCGCGCTCACGCTCGCCAGGGGCGACAAGATCCTCGTGACCGTCGAGTCCGCGCTACCGGACATCATCGTCGTGTCCTTCGTTCACGGTGCCAAGTGCTTCCAGGGCGCCTTGCTCGACGCCACCAAGAGGTAAGCGTACCTGCTACGAGAGCTCTCATCGTACCTCCAGAGCTCTTCTTCCTTCCTTTCTCTATCTCTCTCTCTTTCTTTCTCTTTATTGCTTACTTTCCATTCTTTCTCTCTTCCTGTGCTTTCATCCTGTACGACGATTCGTTCATTTGAATCTCAGAATCAGCCCCTGTTCTAATCATTCACACCAACCGATATTGTATCGTGGTGCGAATTTGTTTTGACCGATCGTCGGTCGAAGGAAGCCACTAGCAAGCATGTCATGCTGCCGTTGTTGCTCTCAGCCAACGTCTCGTAGTCATCGCGATATTGTTTGTTATGTGTATATGTGTATATATATATATTATCATGTATATATATATATATACATATACATATATCGTGCTCTATTGTGAGACTATGTAACATCGTGTTTGTGTACTTATATGTGTGTTCTTACATGTGTGTGTATATCAGTGCGCGTGGTGAAAACGTATTCGATAAGGACGTATGTAGTGATCACGAAACGGTCCCGATTGACGAAATTAATATTGAAGCTACAATTAAAGGCCACCCGCATTTCTGACCGTCGGCGAGCGACGGACGGAGCATTGGAAACTTGCATGCTAACCGTCGCTGTTGCACGACAATCGCTCACTACGAAATTTATGTGCCACACAAACGTTGGTTTACCCCTTACCTTAAAATTTTGAATTGCACTTGTGGTGTGGATTACACGACCAGGTAGACTATACTTGTATCCAAGCTTAATGTTGACTCTAATTTTAATTCCAGACTATGAGACTGGTTTACTGAATGTAGATTTCATATGAGCAGCTGGTTAGGAACCACACTGATTCATTCCATAAATTGAAAAGTAGAGAAAAGTAATGATGAAATGGAATTTACAATTGTTTGTACCATTCTTTTACGATAATCAACTTCGAAAGTAAGTCATTTATTCTTGCAGTAGTTTTGGACACTAATCATGTACCTACATAAGATTGAGCGATTTGGAGAAAATGAAACTCTACAGCCACGTGTAAACGTGTAAAATATAAGATCAGGGGTTAACAATTCGTATCAGACAAATCTTATTACTGAGATCACAGTCTTTTCATTTTAAAGACTCAACTTTATCTAACAAGAATCAAATCAATGTTTAGTCTATCTTTCCATTTAATTTTGCGCGTTAGCGGTGAACTTGTTCCTCGGAATCATCGAACACGTTTTAAAGTGACTCAGACGCGATTTGCTTAGTGAAACGCTGCCACTTCTGGTCGGCCGATGGACTTCTCTGCACGAAAACACGATTACACAGCCACGGGGTTGAAAAAGTAAATTTTCATGATCTTGAAGATTTCTCGACCGTGAAACAGGGGGTAGTAGCCGTTGGTCGTTGCCGGTTACGTGCTCTGCATATCGTAAGTCTTCTTGCAAAGCGGCTTTCATTCCGCAAACGGAAGTAGTTTCACGATGACTCGTGTCTCGTGACGTGACTTACGCCCTCCGCAAAAAGTCGCCGTCGCGTCGCCGTCGCTGGGAAAAGTTTTACGATCACGATGGCATCATCGTTTTATTAAAATTTTATTTATTTTACTGAGATAAGTCGGATTTGTTTTATCTCATCTTTGTTTTCCTCACTGTGCTTCATCATCGATGAGATTACAATTAAATTGTGTATGGAAGTGTCATATTGCTTGTTCTATAGTACTAATGACATTGCTCAAACTAACTGTATTATGATACTCTGATATTTATATATTATTTTACGTGTAGACAGTGTAATACGATATTATTTTTTAACTCTTTACTGAAGCTTATTTTGTATAAGGAATTTGCTAGGTATAGGGATACAATATAATATCTACTATTTAAAAATGTTGTATTAGCTTTGATCTTCCACAGGGATTTGTGAAGAATTACAAGGCTTTGTTACATATGGGAAGTATAACACAATAGGGAGTGTTTTTTACACGTTACTAGTGAGTTAATTAACAAGAAGATAGTAATTGTTCTACTTGCAACAGTACGGTATACCGATAGATAAAGACAGAAACTGGTTTTGTAAAGTTTGTATTATGATTTTACATGTAGAATAGAAACGTTTGGGCTAAAGTTTTGTATGAGATTGCTTTACTATGTTTTACGGTCTTTCATCGTGAATTCTGAAGTTCTTACCCCGTTCAGGTGTCTTTGGTATTAAATAGATTGCAATCACAGTGCTCATGGCAATAGAAAGTTATTAAAGTGGGATAACACTAGGCATAGAGCAGTAATGTTGTAACGTAATGTTGTATTTAACCACAAAAAATCTGCAATTTAAATCTTGTGTTAGATTATCTTTACGGGTATAAAAAGAAATCGCGTATTTATAAATTCCTTATATCTTTATCAGCAATTCAGGGGATTATGATTAAACTGTTTGTGCTGTGTATGAGTGTAACAAGTGTTAAAAAGCTGTGTTAAATGAATCTTACAACTTTCACATGTTTAAATTTATGAATTACGGTACAGCAATAATGAGGTCACATGTGTCATTTCAATCGTCAATCTTCAACTTAATGAAATTCTGTTATTATATATCATTGTATTTTTTTATAAAGCTGCAGAAATAAATCAGTATGGTATTCGATAAAAAACTATATTTTACAAATTTCTACTAATCATTTAGATATCCAAAATACGAAAACAAAATTTAAATTTTGTATTTAATTATTTACGTATCAATAAAAATGCTTATAGCGCTAATTATCTTTAACATAACTTTCTTAAACACATTCCCCAAATGTAGAATACTGAAATAAATTTCATCTGTTGTCTCAAAGGGACAAGGAAACGTTGATTATAGTCGTTATATATATTGGTTATAGTCACTATATATTTTAACTTTGTCGTATGCTCGTTTGGTGTTGTACGCGTGTCACAGTAAACTGCTTTATTTCGTCCACGAGGTTGATATTATTATTGAAAAAGGCTATGAAATCGTGAGTCATACTCGACGAACGCTGCCTTGTCCATACAGTCATTGCTGATTTCACTCTATGGCGGTGAAAATTCAGCTTGACACGAAACCGATTTTAAACTGCTCGAAGGTGTCTTTCGTCCGTCCGTGTCGTACCCTATAATCGATACTAAATGTATCATTAATCATTAATTTGTTGTACAATGTCATTTATTTAATTCAATCAGCTCGAATTATATATAATTAATATTATAATTTAATAAAGAGCTATGTGAGAAATTGCATGTAACAATTTTCATGCTTAGAATAAAAAAGAACTTTCTCCCAAATCTTAATTATCTTGATAATAGCAATTTACGATCAAGTTTCCATTTCTTTTCATGAATTTATTGATCTTCAAGATAATAAGATGGTTGGCTGTGATTTTGAGATTGTCGCTACTAAATTACAGTGTATTCAATTCTCTCTTTTAGGATTAGAAAATTGCTGGAAAAGATGAGAATATCGGATTAAGAAAGAATAACAAGTATGCTGAGGTATAGAGAAAAAGGAACTTCTTTTTTTACCATTAATTATTTCAAAATGAATTAAACATGTTACCATCAAGAAATAAAATAATTTTTTATTTTCCTCGCACTTGCCTGCTTCGTTTATCATTTTCAACTCTTCGATTTTTAAAACATCGAAGTAAAAAATAAACAACACGCGAGCAGACGAACATCAGTACAATTTCCAATCGATCCGAAACACCAGTCTTTCCCCTTTTGAATTCGCCCAGCCTTGTTACACGTCCAGTGTTTCTTATTGGAATTTCGGCTCGGCTGTGTTGCGTCTTTTCAAAAAGCTCCTCTCGTGGTCGAGAAAATTTACATTTTTGCGGTGAAGTTGCGCGTGTGATCGATGATGACCGCGCATGTATAGCGTATACATTAGCCAGAGTACAGAGCATAATAAAAAGGAACCACGCTGTCCGCGTTCCGACGCTTTTTCCATTACGTAAGTGTATCATCGCGACGCTAATAACATGTTCCTGCCCCGGTCGATGGATCCTGTCACGAAATTCGAAATATCCCGTACGCGTCTGCCTGGGTATCAGGCTCATTTTTAACGGAACAAATTGTATTTAATAAAGCAGTGAGTTGCATCTTCGGTCGGTGACAGTGTGATCTCCGACATTTGAAAAGTTATGTTTTAGTATTACGTATTTTCTTACGAAAGATGTTCAATGTTGTTAACACGTTGTCCGCTACGGTAGTCATCGGTGAACCGCGTTTACTAAATTTTTTAGAATGATTAAACTAAAATGAATTTCATGGGCTAAAGAATGTTCAACGATGTGAACGACTGGGATAATATCGTCAGAGAAAAGCGAGCAAATACAATATAATATTTTGCAAAAATTAAAAAAGCATGGGAATATTCCTGCAATTATTTGGAAGAGCTGTTGTAATAAGGAGACAATTCCACTATCCAATGATTCGAGTAAACCAACAGAAACCAACTCAGTATCAATGAAAATCAAATCACTTTTTGCAACGTGGTATAAATTAATGATCAATTAATACTTATAGTAACAACATTTTGTATATTTGAATATGAAACATATATCTTTTTTCGCCTCCGATAAATATAATTTAAATTTGTCCTCTTTGCTGAAGCAATCTCTTCAATTTCTGTTTAAAATTATAGTTTGGATAAAATTAGTTTCAATGAAAGGAGCGAATGACAATATTGTTATGAAGTTTTCTGTATTCTTTGGAACTTTCATTACAAAACCACTATTATGGTTTAGTAATACTTTTGCAATTACTGGTTGAATTTGAGGAGTTGTTTTCTTTTTTCTTTGATGTAGATTGCAGTCGCAGTCGAGTTATCTCTTAACATTTCCTTCTACCTAACATTTCAAGAACAGAGAGTTAATAAGGGGGTGCATATAAAGACATTCAGAAATGGAAATTTCTTTCTAGGGAATGTTAGAATTATGTTGGAGATATGTATATTTTACAGAACATTTACTACCTTAGAGAAGTTCATTAGGAAAATGGCTTAGTGTAGAAGTACTAGTCAAGATTTAGCGTTTTCTTAACAAAAATACTAATTACCTCGAAATGTGTCTTCAAGTTGTATCATCGTCTAGAAAATTATTAAATAAAGCTTGAATCTACGAATAAACTATCAAAGAGAGTTGTATATAAAATCGTACAAAAATCTTGTGTACGATTGATTTATTTTGTTGACTTATTTTTTAACGGAGACCAGCTAAATTTAATTTAAAATATGCATTAAAGTCTACAAGTATTTGTATAATATTTTAAAGAGTACAATGCACAGCAAGCATAAAAGTATGATGTAAAGAAAGGAATATGAGCTTAGAAGTTTATAACAACCGAAGAAACATGCAGGTCTTATTCACGTACAAAGGCATCGAACAGAGTAACAAGAAAACTTTCCACGTTAAAGTATTCCCTGTTCATCGAGTTCCTGTCGTGAATATAAAAATCTACGGAATATCGATCGTGAATGAGGAAATCTTAAAAAATTATCTCCATTCCCTATTCGTTATAAATTACGATCAACTATTCCAATAATTATTCATAAATTCAATCGATCGATATTCGTTCGCAAAATCAGCGATTACTGACGAGAGAAGAAATAAATAAGCCATCAGAAGGAAACAAAAAAAAAAGAAAAAAACACGAAGAAAAAAGCAAAGAAACATGGAAAAAGATAAAAGTGAAGATCGTATCGAGACATTAAAGGCGAGATAAGCTTGTCTGGAAGGAAAAAAGCGGAGGAAAGAGAATAAATAAAGGAAGCTTGTATAACGCCAACCACTTGCCTTAAATCGAATGCCTTGGACCCGCACCTCTTTTTTTATTTTTATCTTTTCCAACGTTTCGCGTCCATTATCTTCGACGTGGACAAGCCTTTAATTAACGCGAAATATTTCGAGGAAATAGCATTGTCTGGGATTACAAAGGTACCTGGTGACGAGAACGTTGTGCAATGCAATTTTCTCCTCGTTCGATCGTGTTGCAATTTTGCATTAGTTTATGAAAATACGCTTCTGGCGTAGGTTACTATTTTCTGGAATGTGGCGGATGTTTCAGACGT